TATATATATATATATATATACTTTTATTTCAGTAAACATTTATATTTTATATTTTGTAATAGTTTGAGTTTTAGTTAACAATAATGATTGATGACCTGCAACATCTTCACAGGTCAGGATTCAACATCATAGGACTCTTCTCTTGTGGCCTTATGGGATAGTAAAGTGTCCACTGAATGCACATTTCAGAATCAGTGGAAGCAGTAGATTGTTTGCCTACTGTTTTTTTTGTTTTTTGAATACTGTGTATTTATTATGTTACTCATTTGACAGTTTTTCACATGGAAGTAGTCAAATTTGGATGTGGAGTATTCTTTGAAATATGTGTCAAATTTGTGTCAAATGGAAACATCAAATATATGCAGAGGCCTCCAGAGGCGGGATTGAGAGGATTCTCTGGTACATTTGAAAACAACAGAAGATGACCAAAGTGTTTACAGGTAAAATAACAAGAAGCCTAAATACTAACACACATCACACATTAAATGACTTTTTACAGAAACAACTTTCTTTCTGTTCTTCACACAATTTCTATCGTATGGCTTCAGGAGGCTTTAAATATAGAATTATTATTGAATAAATGTATTTTTAGTCCATTCAAATTGTTTTCTAAATAATATGGAATTCCGTTGATCACGTGATCTCAACATGTCCGCCCCCATGAAGCCGACCCTCTCCATGTAAAATGAACCCACTTTTAATAGGCTACTAACAGGAGACTCGTGCGAAAGTATGTCATTTTAATTTTATGGTTACAAAGCACGTATTACTTTATGTGTAAAAATACTGAGTACACATTTCATGTGACTAAATGTCGAAAAGGAAGGAAATGTAGGTCACACCATCTGTGATAATAGTTACAGTTAGTTTCTTCTCACTCACCATGTTCATCAGCTCCTGCAGGAGTCTTTTGGTGGGCTGTCCTTGACTTTTCAACACATCAAACAACTGTGAGTAACCAATCCGCTCCTTGAAGACCTCCTGGGAAGACAAACCACAGTTACATTACAACTGAACAAGCACAGAATACAATGAGTGCTCTCACCACCCTGTTCCCCAAAATAAACCAAAACACAAAAGGTACTATACAAAGCAGAAATGTTTTCACATGAAAAAAAGTGGGATATCATGAAAAACAGGATTTTATTTCAAATTTAATTTAAATTTGAAAGTCCAGTCTTCTATGTAAACAGCTTTCACAATGCAAGGCCACCCAGATTATTTATTGAAACTACGCTGCAAAAACATAGCCATAAATCTTCACAGTTGTGCCACAGTATAATGTTTGCTTCGCAAAGAGGGTGTTATTGAAGAACAGGGTGGCACAGACTACTGTATATTTGACCCAACAGCAAAAAGGTTAGCCAATAAAAACAAGGGCATTTACATACAGAAGTAGCAGTAAAAAGTTTTCCATTATAAGAAGGAGAAAAACAGTCATGAAAAACTATACCATGACATGTATATTGGTATATATATATATATATATATATATATATAAAAAACAAACAGGATATGGGATTATGATACTTTTGGACCTGACACATAACTGTACCATAAAATAAAGGAGGAAGCGCATGTTGTAATGTCGCCATGTGTGACCTGGTTTTGCAGAACCACATCAAATGTGCTGATAAGATTAACCAAACACGCATAAGGGGCACATTTATCATATGCAAGCACTTTGACTTATCATGCTGATAAGACAAGAGACGGCTGCAAGCTGACGTTTCAGGAAAAACATACATAAGGAGCGAGAGGAGAGGAGGTGTAAGACATGAGTCGATGACGTGTCATACCTTGGCTGAGGGCGAGTTGCTCATAATGGCGGTGAGAACTCGAATGGCGTGTACTGTGATGCAGTCAGAGCCCTTTTCCCAGACCTACACACACATATGCAAAATACACACGACATTTAGTTCATATTCACATTCTCATGGATTAAATGATTAGTTCACCCAAGAATAAATATTCTGTTAACACTCATGTATTTCCAAGCCCATAGGAGAATTTTTTGAAGAACCAATGCCGTTTTGTCTGAAATTTCTGAATTTAACACGGACATAAATGAGCTTTCAAAGCTTCAGTGAATTTTCGGTGAACAATGACAAATGTTTTGGTCTGTTCCTCAAACGAAGCTATCATATGGCTTCAGAAGACTTACAGGCTACTTTCATTCTGCATTTATGGTGTTTTTCGTCCATTTTAGAGCTTGACAGATATGGTCACTATAAATATTGTTGTAAGAGCTGAATGAAGATTCTTCAGAATTTCTCCTTTTGTTTTCCACAGAAAATAACAGCAAAATATGGGTTTGGAATTACATTAAGGTGAGTAAATAGTGATATATACGCTACCATTTAATCATTTGATTTTTAAGAAATTAACTCTTTTATTCAGCAGGGATGCATTTAATTGATCATAAGTGACAGACTTTTATATTACACATTTTTCCTTATAATAGTCAGAAATGTTTCTTGAGCACTAAATCAGCATATTAGAATGATTTCTGAAAGATCATGAGACACTGAAGGTTGTAGTAATGGATGCTAAAAATTCTGCATTGCCAACAAAGGAAATAAATTACATTTTAATATATAACAATTATTTTAAATGATTGAATATTTCATACTATCATTGTTTTTACTGTATGTTTGATCAAATAAATGCAGCCTTGGTGAGCATAAAAGACTTCTTTCAAAAACATTAAAAAAATTAAAAAATCTTACCGACCTCAAACGTTTGATCAGTAGTGTGAACATTTTTGTGTGAAATATTGCTTTTAATAAAACCGTTTCAGAGAGATGCATGCAAGGAGATATCTATAAATTCTGAACATTCCTCCCTGAAGTGCAAGATTCTGTTAAAAACAAACTGAATACAAATTAATGTTAAAAAATTAAATTAAAGAGATTAAAACATGCAACAGTAAAACCGATTTTTCTTTTAACCTTGAAATATTTACCACCACTCCACCACAAATATCCCACCAAAGACCACCAAATGAAACACACCAAATACACCTACAGCACCACAGATACACTAGACATGCTAAAAATCTAGATCACTGCAAGACAACATGCAAGGTGACAGGCCTTGCAAGTACATCCAAACACACACACACACACACACGCACACACTAAACCACCACAAGCAGGATCCTCACCCTCCAACTCTGTGTACTGACACGGCATAAACCTTTAAAAATGTACTGAAATGGTACCATGATATCAAATGGCAATTTCACAGTACTATGTGATCTCTATATTTATATACAACAGTGTTGGTATCATTAACTAAAACTATTAAAAACATTTGTTATTTCAAATAAAGCTGAAATAAAACAAAACATAAATATTAGACAAAAAAAAAAATCGGAAATTAGAAATGTTGCCTTGGCAACTAACTGAATAAAGTTGAAGTGAAGTACTAAAATTATTAACTGAAATAAAATGAACTAAAACTGAAATAAAAATAAATTAAAACTATTTAGAAATATATATAAATAAACAAATAAAATGACAAAAGCACATAAAAAAGAATTAAAAATTAGAATGAAAGCTGAACATATAATTATAAAATCTAATTCAAAATTCTAATAAAAACTATAAGTATGTTACTATATGTTAAGGTAGTTGACACTGAATACTTTTGGGAAAATTGACATGCCCTGTGGTGTGACATGTTCTACTCCAACTAAAACTATTTTAAGAAGCATTTTGCTAATTCTTTTAAGATTTTATCCATTCTGCTTTTATAAAATCATGCAATATGTGTAGGTTCAATAATAATAATAATAATAATATCTTAAAAATAAAAAAAATATTTAACATTTACATTTTTTAGAATTAAAATTAAATTCTGCATGCATATATGAATGTCAAAAATAATGTTTATTTTTGACATTCATATATGCATGCATAATTTAATTTGGTTTCAAATTGTGATCAAAAAAAGTTCTCATAAATTTATTCTAGATCATTTTACATGACATTATATCCAGTCTGATGCCAGTTTTCCCCTAAAATATTGCTGATTGATGTAATCCATCAACTACCATTAGAACACGATAGTACCATCATGTCATATCCAACTACCATGGTACAATAACAACAGCATAATGTTTTAAGGTTCCTCATTTTACGTTGCATTTAAGTCAACTGTGTCACAAACTGGCACATGCAACGACACATGCAGATGTTTTGGTACTGTATATTCACCTAGACAGCACTGCATGATTACGTAGAGCTTGTTATGCAGAATCTAATGTTGCTCAGTCAGCAGTTGTGTGTCTGTGTTTGAGTCAGTCAAGTGAAGGGTGGGTTTCCTGCTGACGAACGGCACACTGATCAGCGGTGAATGGAAAATACCTGCTCCACTTCAGCCTCTGTGAGCAAACGTGTAGTGAGGTCACACTGGCCCTCACACTCCACCTTAAACCTGTTATTCTGATATAGCTGCAGGACAGACACACATTCACACGCACAGCGTTACAAGAAACACATGAACACAAGTGAGTCAGAGATAAAATAAGCAAGCAGAAATCGAACTGACAGATAAAGCAAAAAGAAATGAATAACAGACGAAAAAGAGAAGCTGTACGAAATCCTCATTATACAACATCAAGGCTAGTTACAACACATTCAAAAACCAGCCAGCTTACCAAAACCAACTGTGATTACATACAAGCATATGACGCAGAACCTATATTTCATCACAGGACGGAAACAGAGGCTGTGCTACAAATAATTATTGTTCGTCATTTTGATGCACTGGGTTGTAAACCATCTGTCATGGTCTATTTTTATCTGTCAGTAAAATATTGGCTTAGTAATATACTGGCTTAATGGGTCAATGACAAATCTAGTTTAAAATACACTTTCAAAGTTCTTAGAACTGCAACATTTGTATTCGTGTTGGTTTCATGTGGTTTTATATCACATTTTTATATCATCTTCAAAGAAAGTTTCAATTTAAGTAGTCAAGAAGTAACATGTTTTCCTAACACATCTTAATAATTCTTACAAAAAAGTAGTTAATTTTTTTTTATTTTTTTTTACAAATGAATTAATTTGAATATCATTACTTTAATACAATTTTAATTCAATAAATAAATATCATTACAATTTAGTGAGCTGCACAACACGACTTTTAATACTGAAATGAACTTGACCTGTCAAAGGCCAAACTATCTGTTTGATATATATTAATATATATTAGATCATTTATTTTTTAGATAATATACATTATAAAATATATTAATGTTCCTGTGGCTCAGTGGTAGAGCATTGCGTTAGCAGCGCAAAAGATCGTGGGTTCAATTTCCAGGGAACACACATACTGGGAAAAAATGTATAGCCTTAATGCACTGTAAGTCGCTTTGGATAAAAGCGTCTGCTAAATGCATAAATTATTATTACTATTAAATTAAATTAATTAAATTATTAAATGATCTGATATTTCTGTCTGCAGGGATCCTCTCTATGATATCATTTCCTGTTTTTTCTGCATGTTTGTTGCACCAACTTTGATTAGACAAATGTTTTTTGTTTGTTTGTTTGTTTTTTTTCAAATAATTATGCCAAATTACTTGGAAATAAAACTTATTGAGGCTTTTGATATTAGGATAGTTGTATGACATTTTTTTTTGGTTACATTTTTAAGCTTTTATTTTTTGTTCCATTCACAAAATGTATGTGAAAGAACTGCTTTGTATGTTAATTGAAATATATTTGAAATAAAATATATGTATTAAATAATTAAATGAAAATTAGAAATGTTGCCTTGGTAACTGAAATATGTTTAGGTGAAGTACTAAAATTACTGAATGAAATAAAAATAAATGTAGATATATTTTTTTTTAAAAATGTAAAAAATGTTGAAAGCATATAAAAATGACTAAAAATTCAATTCAAATGAAAATATTCATATAAAAACTATAATAGTATATAAGTGATACTAAAATAACACTGATACAAAATGGTACTTTTGGGAAAGTTGATATGCTCTGTGGTGTGGCTGTTTTTTTCTGCATGTTGGTTGCACCACCTGACATTGATTTGGCAGACAAATGTTTTTCAAATATTTACTGCTTGAAAAATGACTTATTAAAATGCTGAAATTCATTAAACATATTGAGGCTTTTGATATTAGGACAGTTGCACTACCCTGACAGTTTTTACTTTTTCAGTTTTGTTCTTTTTATTCAGCTGATGAAATGTATTTAAAAGAAATGCTTCAGTGGGAACGTTTACTGAGTAGGGATATATCTGGTATCTTATGTAAAATAGATTTTAACCATTTTAAAATATCATATTTTTTTACTTGATAAATGACAAAAAAATTTTTTAAATAAAGCAACCTCTAGATTGAACCATGGCAAATCTGTGGTTCAGATTAGTCAACCCGCGTTCAGTAGTCTGCTTGTTATCTTTCAGGCCAAACATCAGCAGTCTGCCACATTTCAACCATGAGATTGATTTGAATCCTCAGGGCTGGAAATGCGAAGCGCTGCTGCAGATATCTCAGAGGCTTTAAGAAGGTATCGTTCTGACCTTGCTGTTCTGGATGAGGCGGAGTATGTGCTCGAAACAGTTGTTGTTGAGAAAGATAGCCTGCAACACCGGCCGGTCTGAACACTGCAGGATCTCTGGGATAGCATCTGCAGGGCAAAAACACAAGAACATTCAGTCTTTTTAACCTGTGCCTTCTGGAGAGATAAAACTGTGCCAGTTTTAGGCACTTAAATAAACAGTGCTGGGACATCAGCATTACTCACGGTAGAAGAAATTAAATGCAACCAAATAGCTATTTTGTGTCCTTTTACAACTTCTCAATTCAAATTGTTTCCAGAGAACTGGCTACAATTAACTTCTGGAAAAGGGGTGGAAGTTCACCATAAATACATTATAAATGTTTAAAAACAACATTAAACATATCATACACAGTGATCTGAGTTAAAGATCTAGAATCAGAAGCTCTGCAATTCATCATGTATGATACAACATTGTTGTGTTGATTTTTTAATTTTTTTATTGCAAGATGCCAACAGTTACATCATGACATAATATCATATTACTTGCCGATTACATGAAATACTTCTGGGAAGTTGATGTGACATGCACTCCAACTAACTATTCAAGCAGCATTTTTCTGCTTGTTTTATAATTGTAATGCGTGCAATTTTATGACCTTATATTAATTGAGAGACCTGGAATATTTGTATTTCAAAAATTATTTTGTCACACTGCAGGACCATTTAATGTAAATTATAATTGAACTAGTGAAGGCAAAAATGTGTTTAAAGGAAATTGTGACAATGCACTTTCTTCATACTCGTATATGAATATTAAATTAAAGGGTTCGGGCTCAAACTGCCTTTCTTTGAGCAGCTGAAGTTTATGAAGCAGATTAATAGGGTGTTTGGGGGTGTGGCCTGACTTATGGGCGATGATGACTGGTTTCTGTTCAGTGAGGTTCAGTGAATGCCAATAGGGTGATGATCCTTAATGTTTAGAGATTAGGATATATTGTAATGTACTGAAACTTAGCAACTGCATTCTAAGGCAGAACGCAGTGAGAGGCGCTTTTTAAAAATGTTTTCTATTGGCAGTGAGTGTTTTGTGTGCTGTTTATGCGCCCCGGGCGCCTCGCGTTTTAGCCGCCTGCTGCGCATCACATTTTTGTGCCTGAAGTTGAAAAAAATAAACTCTGAGCAGAAAAGTGCTCGGCATCATTCACTTTTATTTTATTTTTTTCATTGTCCAAACGAATGAATGGAGAGGCAGGCCTTCCGTTGTGGTGACGGAAGTTTACAGTTGCTTGGAACGTCCAGAGACTGCAATGATGGAGGAGAAACTTGTGGTGGTTGTCGAGGGTTACCCGGAGCTGTATTTTTTTTTTTTTTTAAGTTTCTGCTAATATGACAGTTTACTTAAGAGCAAACCAAAGATTTTAGAGTGCTCGCACTATAATCCTTGATTAGACCGACAGGACAGCTAATTCGGTGGTAATATATCTGTATATGGCTCAGGGGTGGTCTTATTCAAATAGCCAGCTATCCATGTAGAAACTGGCTGCAAACTGAAACAGCTCACTGGATGACACCGTTTCAGACTTAAACTAAATGCAAACTAAATGCAAAAAAAGCTAAAAAAGTTAACATTTCATCCGATGTCCCCTTTAAAATGAAATATCATGAAATGGGAACCACCCACTATAGAATACTGGATGCTTCAAATGAAAAGAGATCAAACTTAAAACTCAAAGACTAGTAAGAACTAACCAATTGATGACTGAGTTGTTTTTCTCTATTTAACGAAACTAATTAATAAACAACAAAACAGAACAGAACAGAATGGAACCTCAAAAGTGAGTGATTTGAAACACCCTACAAAGGTAACTACTGCACACAAATAGCATTCTGCATAGGAGACTCAACTCAATAAAGCCTGGCATTAGCCCCTTTCACACAGTAATACCAGTAAATTACCAGAACGACTTTACCGGTAAACACAAAAATGCACTGTTCACACAGGCAATGACATTCCGTCTTTTTACCAGTACAGCACCATACACACATTTAGTTTCAAAATACCGGTAAATTCTGTGACATCATTAACCGGAAATGACCCCGAAACGGCTGCATCTCCCGGTGTTGTGTTTGTAAACATGGAGGGGTATACGCGGTCAGTGTTTTTGTTGATGTTTTAATTTTTGTGTCAAATGTTCACATTCATGCAGCTGCTTTTTGCCCAGAGACATCGAATTTACCAGTATTTTTTGAAAAGATCGAGTTCACACATGATCTCTTCAGAGTAATTTACCGGTAAAGACTGTACGTGTGAAAGGGGCCATTAACATGCTGCTAAGGTAGTAGCATGATAACCAAATAAACACAAAAATACACAACTATTGGTTAAAATAATCTATTTGAACAAAATTAAATACTTATTTTAATCAACATTTCTATTACCAATTCGGCCATCTTGGATAAAATTGTTCACTGTGCTTGTTGCAAGGCATTCTGGGATTGCTTTCTCTACAAAGGATCCATGCAATGCAGTTTTAGTTCGAATTAGGCTGAAATTTTGGCATCTTATAAGGCTGAATAATTCAATTAGGGAATACTGGTGCATTCAAGGGATAGTTCACCCAAAAATGAAAATTGATGATATTTTGAAGAATATACATACTGTTTTCAACCAAAGTTAATGTTGGCGATGCTGAGACATTTTTCAAAATATCTTAATTTGTGCTCCACAGAAGAAAATCATAAATGGAAAAAAAAAAAAATTGAGGTTAATGAGTAATGGGAAATATTTTCTTACTCAACATATGTTCGAGAAGTGTAATGAGGTTATCCTCCCAGGTCTGCATATCTCCCTGCTGGCTGTCCGGCGGCCGGTTCCAGTTGAGCAGCTGGAAGTAACCGTCCAGTACAATCCGGATCTCTACCTGCCTGTCGACCGGGCTGCTGGAGTGCAGAAGGTGGATCATTGCAGTCAGGCACCGCAGGGTCATTTTGAGCAGCCGAGGGTCCTTGGGCTCTTGTGGGGATGAGGCAGGAGTGAGGCACCAGAAACGCAGCACAGACATGAGGTCCTTCACAGCCTGGGGGGTGATGGAGAGAAGGCCGTTTCTCTGAAACACACACACAAAACGTTAGCACATTACACACTGATGTAGTGAGGTATGTGGTCGGCGTTAATACATGTAAATGAAAGGAGGTCCAGAGAGTCTAATTTACCTTGCATCCACTGATTACAGCTCCCTGAAGATGCACCAGCCTCACCACGAGCGGCTCTGGGATTAGTTCACTCTCTTGTAGGTAGTCTGTGGGTGTAACCAGTCATTTAGTCACAAGAATCTTAAAGCTGAGCATTGTTTGTGCAATTGTCATTATTTTAACATTTTACGGCACAAAAACATATTTTTGTTAAAGAGAAAGTTTATTCAAAAATGAAAATTCTGTCATCATTTACTCACTTTCACACCTTTCCAAACCTGTACGCATTTACTAGAAGACTATATTCTGAATTTTTATTATTGTTTTTCCCATACAATTAAAGTAAATGTGGTCCATTGTTGTTTGACAGAATTTTCATTTTTTGGGTGAACTATCCCTTAAAAAGGAACTGTCATGAAATGGGAACTGCCTACCATAGAAAAACACCAGCTGCTTGAAATTAACAAAGATCAAACTTGAAACTCAAAGACTAGTCAGAATTAACCAGTTCATGACTGAAGTATTTTGTTGTTGTACTTACTGAAGCTACAAGAAAGAAATAATAAACACCAAAACAAAACAAAAAAATTAGTGCTGTAAATCGATAAAAAAAAATTAATCACACATTTCTTCTGAAATGAATCGCGATTAATCCCACCTAACATTCAAGTTTTTAAATATACTTTTATATTGCAGTAATTTCACATGCAATCTTCAAATTAATGTAGAAACAACATAAAGACAGTATCTTTTTTAAGTATTTGTTTAGTGGCATCTTTTTTTATGACTGAAGGCCAGTATGTATCACTGATACCAATACTACTTATGTCTCTATGAAATAGTTTTCCCCCTAATATTTAACCATTGACTATAGCCATTCAACATTACAGTACAATTGAGAGGTATTAACATTTATTAGACTTTAAAACATAACTTCTAATTCAAGTGAACTTAAAACAATCTTCACATGAACCCATTATAATAAATGTCATATTTAGCTACCTGTGCCCTTCAGCAAGTAGGAAATATAAAGAAAAAGAATAAAGTTATTAAACATTCAATTCTAAATTAAATATAGATTAATCCTCAAAGCTAGAAAAGTTATTGATTTCCTCTTTTTTTCTTTTGTTCTTTGATTAACAGACATCACAACAGCTGGGTTATTAGGTTTTTTGGCTGCTATTACTGCTATTACCTCTGCTGAACATGACACAGATCTGACACGCATCATATTTTCTCTCTTTATCTTTTCTGGCATGCTTCAGGTCTTAAAGTCTCTACTAATGAGCTGACGAGTTAGATAAGGGAGACAGTGCTGGGCTGCTCCAGGACAGTTTTGAAAACCACTGCATTTCAGAGACATGTTCTTAAATGTCACTCATATGTAACAAATATTTACATACATTCACAGTTTTAAGGCAGCTTTAATCGCATTTTTTGGTAACTTAATGACTTAATTGACAACATAAGCACGACATTGCATGCTCGTAGTTTCTTTTGCGCTTCAATATGAAATGATATACAGTATGCCGGCGCATTTGTGCGTGCACTTGAAGAGCACGTGCTACGAGCACAGTATAATGGCTGACAGGACAGGAAAATTAATTTTTACTGACATATAGCCTGACAACATCTCATCTGACCGCAGTTCACTGTTGTTCTACTGAAGCTCCTCATTTCCGCACTCGTTTGACTAGCGCCTGGCGCTGAGGTGAATTTGGAGTGCGCCTCTGAAAAATCTCCCATTTGATGTAGCCGTAAAGACGTTCTGCATCTAAATAAATGCAATTCTTGTCAAAAAAAAGAGAGAGACAGTAGCAGCAGTTGTGAGTGGGGTGGCCAACCCTAGCTCCGCCCCTGTGTTAATTGTGTTAAATATTTTTAACGCCGTTAAACTGAAAAAAATAATTGTATGTGTTAACGCACTAATTTTGACAGCACTAAAATAAATAAATAAAACAAAACAAAGCAAGGCAAAGCAAATAAATAAATAAAAAACAAAAGTAAAACAAAGCAAAGCAAATAAATAAATAAATAATACAAACACAATACAAATAACAAGTAAAACAAAACACCAAAATGTGAACCCAGAGTGTGGACCTGAGCTTTCATTTTAGGGGGATTTGCCGTCCCACTCGCAAAAACACAAAATTCTGCTGCAAAACCCTGAAGTGGGTGTTCATATGGCCACCCTACTTTCGGATTAAGGACATGCTGGGTAGATGAGAAAACCTAACAAACCTCACACAAACATATACACATCACTACATCATAAACATGATGTGGAGAAACCTTTTGCTGAAAAACAACTTTTCAGAACAAGAAACTAGTTTACCTCGCCTCATGACCACAGGCCACTTGGACCCACTGCAGCTTGCCTACTAACATATAGGTGTGGAAGTTGCTCCAGAGCTTATAATCACTTGAACAAAGCTTGCATCACTGTCAGGATTTTTGTTTTAGCCATTGCCTGCAGGCTGCAATATAGTCCTGCTTCTTCAGATTTGTTAAGTTGTGCGCTTATGAGGAGTCCAGTTCAAATCTAGCCTGCATCATGTCCTAATCCCATTCCTCTCTCTTATTTCTGTCTTAACTGTCCTATACAGTACATTATATTAAACATCCATAAACAAAATGTAGATCTCTCCCTATATCTACATGAAAGGTTGCTTCTACAAGCTACCACACAAGTACATGTCCAAACAGAGCATGACACAAACAAGATACAAGTCATAATCTATCACTTAAAAAAGGACAACTCCGCTGTATTTACATGAAGAACATTTAAAGGCAAATAAGATGACAAATCACAGCACTGAATCACTATGGATTAATACTTTAGGGATCAGATCGCCCTTTCTTTACAAACAACATTTTGTCTCCTGGGAGGCAGGATGTGCGATATCTCCCGGGATGTGAAGATGGGAGTAAATGGAGGTTAAAGATTGTGTCAGAAGGCAGGAGTGGGTGACATACCGTGGAAGAGCAAAGGAAGCTCCTCTGGTAGAACAAGGGGGGAGAATTTATACTTGCTTCTCTCCAGCATACTGACCTCCTCCCTAAAAACACACACAAATCAAAACCCTTTATGGAAATACTTGCTTATTTACTTTGTTCTTACTTACTACTAAAGCAATAAGGTACAGTACACTGCAGTAAATCATCTTCTTAATCTATAGTCAAGAATATATCTTTATGTTTTAAGCATAAATCTACCAAAGAGTTAAAAATATGATTTAATAATAATGAACAACACCAATATATATAATGGTACAAGTTGATTAATCTACTCATCCAGTGTTTACATGAATTATGTTTATTTTTCTCACCCCAATGGCAACTTGTTTCTTGTTTTAAGCATAAATAATAAAAACCAAAAAATTATAAATTATTAAATAATAATATCAATAATGTCAGTACAATTATGTTATCAGGTCGAAATACCATGGTATTTTGATATATCACGGTACAAAGTTGATTAATCGACTCCTATACCACCATGGTGTTGGTATGAATTATGTTTATTTTTCTTACCTACTGGCATTTTTTTCTTGTTTTAAGCATAAATCTCAAAAAAAAATAATACATTATTAAATATAACAACAACAACAATAAGTAAAATGATCTCACCATGTTTTAATACCATGGTATTTTGAGATATAGGCTATTCCAAATATATCTCAAGCTATATCATTGTACAATATGATTAATCTACTATACACTATTATGCTGACATGAAAGTGCATGTAACTACTCAATCTGTTTGCCAAATACGTACATTAGCAATTAATAAATATTTAACAAATGGTTCATTAATCTAATAGTCTATGAAAGGTGGAATGTTTCATAATACACCTTAGTTCAAACCTGCACATAAGTGGATGGGCAGAACAGTGCTCCTTGAAGAGATACACTCATGCTGTGGGAAGTTTATGCTGTGTGTAGTTCAGACAGCTGAGCGTAAGAAGACTTGAGAGCTGAGAGGTGCGGACTGGGTGTGTTATTAACTGTTGAAGTGGAGCTGAGACAGAGCTTGCCGCTCTTAATGGCTCCTGCGCATTCCTATTGTGGTTTAACACCCTGCCCAACTCACAGACACACACTCACCCTGCCTGCCGTCTCCTCCACGTCTGATAAGGGTCAAAGAGATTTTCGCACAGCAGCAGGCCATGCTGTACCACCGACTGTAAAGTGCTCTGATCATCTGGCTGCTTCTTCAGCTGTAACACACATACATAAACACACTCGACTGAGTCTTACACAATATGCAAACCTATCTGTTTTTGGCTTGTTAACACACAAACATTCCTTTGAATAAAGCAGAGGTCTTCCACCCAAAGCTTTCTGATTAAACCTGTTCTGTTAGTTCAGAAACCTACAACAGCACGTGTAATAAAAATAGCTGCATAGTAATATACAATTAAGTGAACAAACGTTTCATTGGTATGTTTAGAATAAATAAAATGCTACATAAATTTGAACTAGCTTCAAAACACTAGAGTAACACTAGAAAACTTTTCATGAAAATAATATTTGACTTTTTTTTTGTGGCTTTCTTCTGTTGATAGAACAATGTAGAGGTGACAAGAAAAAAGTAATACAAGGGGAACTGGATTAGGAAATGATGTAAACTAGACTCAAACTCGCATTTCCCACATGAGCACCGTGGCTCAATGTATCAGCTGGGGTGCAAACCACTATGAAACGGTTTCACAGACTTTATGACTTCTCACCTGAGTCAAACAGAAGTTTAGGAGCTTGATCGTCTCAAACACAAAACCCGGGGTCTTTTCAGAGTCTATATTCTCCATATTTCTGCAAGCAGAGATTCACATCAGCAATGGTATTATTGTACACTCAGGGAAGATCCACATCAGCTATGCAATTTAGCATAAACTGCAGCCTTGCGTTATCCCTGCTGTTCAAACATAGAAGCTTATCAACAGGGGTTTGAGTCACTGGGGCATTATCGCAAAGGGAATGATGGAATTCACTCTGTGCTCAGTGGGTACTGACCTGCAGATGATGATGAAGAACTTGATGAGGAGCAGTGGGTGTGGAGCAGTGCTGCTCTGATCCTGCCCTGACATGTGGAGGGCGCTGTGCCACAGCTGGGTGCTGAGGAACATCAATACCTCCTTGGGGAGGAGCGGGACATCGACGCTCCATTCCTCCAGCCTGCAGACAAAAAAGAAGGTTGTTTTGTTTGCTTTTTGTTTGTTTTGTTTGTTTTTGCTTTCTGTTTGTTTTGAGTTTTGTTTGTTTGTTTTGTTTTGAGTTGTGTTTGTTTGTTTTGTTTTGATTTAATTTTGTTTTGATAAAGCACTGATGAATAGACATCAAAAAAGTCAAAGCACTGTTTTCAGTCATTGAACATACGTCTTGGACTTGGACCTTGGGGTTATTTACACAGAGCACAAATTAATGTTTCGTCTGCTCTATTTTTTATTTTTTTTTGGTGCATGTCTTCGGCCATTGCATCACAGTTTGCTGTTTTGGTGTTCCTCAAAATCTTTTCCAGACAGCCTTAAGTTGTTTTTTATACGATATATAATATTATATGCTATTTTTAATATATATTTTTTTCTACATTTCAAATGGGCAACGCTAGCTGAACCACAACATTGGGATGGAATTAATCCTTCATCTGCAACACCACAGCTCACTATACCTAAAGTATATGTGCTAATCTTTAGATCACAGATCTGGTGTGCACATCTGGTGTACATACATCAGATCTGCAGGATGAGATGAAAGTATTTAAAAGATTGTAAAGATTTTTCAAACTCACCAACCATTAAATGAGCAATTAAACATATACAGGCCTTAAAATACCATCATAGTCAGAGGTCCATCTGGACCTGACCACCTACAGATCAACTCCCTGCGTCTGTGACATTTTGATAGGTCAGCATGTAACTGACTCACCGGCGAGGCTCCGTCGACTGCACATCAATGGCCTTCTCAAAAGACGCCACGAATGCCTCCAACCACTGCTGCAGGTAAACGACATCTTTCTGAAAGACAAAGAGAGATAAAAGAAAAGAGTAAGAGGCTATAAAACATTTTTTGACAGGACAACCCAATGGTCAGAGAGGTCTAGGTTACAAACAAACTCACACTTTAGGTATTCCAAACTGCTGATCTCTGTGTCTATGCGTACACCTTTTGCATCTAAATTGAAAACATCCACTTTTTAAAACCATCCATTGTGCTCAGTCCAGCTGTTTTTGAACACATCTTTTGTGGAAGCCCCTTAAGAAACGCATCTTATCGGGGTCAGGTGAACCCGAAGCCAGATTATTCTGAACTTTTATCAACTAGTACAGTCAATAGTCTCTCAGGCAACCCAACTACTTTTCAACTTGGAAATGATGTAGTTTTGCACATGCGTAGTACGCCTTTACACCAAGAGCATGACTGGGCGCTATCTCCAAAATCAGAGCATGCACACACTTGTGTTAACACAACAGGAAACTACAGAGTATGCAAACTTCTGCAGTGTAACAGTGGATACTGTGAATTCATAATGCAATAAATGCAGTGACAGTGGTTTTGTCAATGGGACAAAAGCAAGTACCACTCGCACAATCCATTATGTCTTCCGTTAGACTGTTTGTGCAAATATAAAAGAAGGTACTAATATGCACCTTTTAGGGGAAGATAAGGTTGTTCGAAAGTTGTACTGCCCCAGTAACAAGTTGTACACCTAAATGTAATTTTTTTTCACATTTGTGACCCTGGACCACAAAACCAGTCTTAAGTCGTTGGGGGTATATTTGTAGCAATAGCCAAAAAAACATTGTATGGGTCAAAATGATCGATTTTTCTTTTATGCCAAAAATCATTAGGATATTAAGTAAAGATCATGTTCCATGAAGATATTTAGTAAATTTCCTACTGTAAATATATTAAAACTTAATTTTTGATTAGTAATATGCATTGCTAAGAACTTCATCTGGACAACTTTAAAGGCGATTTTCTCAGTATTTTGATTTTTTTGCACCCTCAGATTCCAGATTTTCATATAGCTGTATCTCGGCCAAATATGGCCCTATCCTAACAAACCATACATCAATGGAAAGCTTATTTATTCAGCTTTCAGAGTATGTATAAATGTCAATTTCGACATTTGAAAATTTGACCCTTATGACTGGTTTTGTGGTCCAGGGTCACATTTGCAGTGTACATTGTACAGTGTACAATGTTTGCCATATGCCAACAATTATCTGTAATTGTATTAGTTTCTTTGATAAACAGATCTTAATATCGCCACCATTGCAACCTAATCTACAAGAAATTCCCATTATCGCTCTTCAAATCATATTGTTGCTAGAAGTGTGAAATTCTGTCATGTTTCCACTAGCCAAGAATGAGCTGGAGCAAGGAAAGCTGGTCATGGATGAGTGCGAAGGAACAACTTTGATGCACACCTGGATCTAATGCCAGCAAAGGTGCATAAACCTTCAGTCATACTGCAGACCTGCTATTTGATCTCATGAATCGGTATTAACTGAAACAGAAGGCCTGGTTAAACATATCACATGTCCTATGGGTAATTTAATATGCTAAAGTCTTTGTAGAATGTTTATGTAGCAATGCATAGTCATAGGTCTGATTCCAAGAAAACGCATAAACTGACCTTGAATGCAATGTAAGCAGAACGCAGTGGAATCATAACTCTGACTTTTATTTTTTCAATCATCAATGAATAAAAGGAAATACTGATATAATTCATCTTTGATGGAGAGATCACAATAACATTTACTGTAAACTTCTGTCAAGAATGAGTCACATGGGAACCAACACCAACAAACCCTCACATGAGACTGTCATTGGAAAGAGGCTGGTGGAAAACATTTTAAAGAGCGAGGAGCTATGCTTAGCTTAAATGATGCGGCTTGATCCACCCACTCATATAGGGGAAGTTGGGCTGTCAGCAGCTTCATCAAACACTCTCTGATATGTACACGATCCAATAGCAACATACAGAGGGCTTCTGGTATACCAAAACAATGTGTACTACAGCAGAAAGTAACTGTAAAATAACATTAACCCTGCTCAAAGTGGAAAGAAACCAACTTTACCAATTGCTGTTCATTTAGGGGCCAGTCCATGTCTCATGGCAGGTGATGTGCGGTGGAGGGGCTCTTGTTACCCCAGTCTCTGCAGAGCCCCCACCAAGTTGCTTCTACAAAGTCCAGAATGTGTCCACCTGTAAGCCTCAGAATCATTCAGAGTCCATCATGACGCCTCCGCTGGCTTACTTCTCTGCTTTTTTCTGCTCTCTTGCTGTCTGTACTTCTGTCAGGCAACCAGGAAATGGCAAGTCACTTTAACTGAGCCACATTTCCTGTCTTCTCTCAGCCGGGCACATCGTCACCATGTTCTCTTCCTCCTTTGCCGCTACCACAGCTTTATTGGTACAGTATGTTTCACCTCGCTACGAACTAAAACCGGTAAGCTACGGTGTACCTGATGCAACCTTTCACAACATTTTAAATAAAAATTCTGTCTTTATTTATTCACTTTCATGTCATATTAAACCATGACTTTCTTACATTCGAGGAACACAAAAAGAGAAATTTAGAATAATGTACTGGCTGCTCCTCTCCACGCAGTTATGTGATTTGAAGTTTCGAAAATGACAAAAAGCACTATAAAAGTCTCATAAGAGTGATGTATACAACATGTGTATTCTAATCCAAGTAGTCATATGATGGCTTCGTGTCACAAACATGTCAGAATTTTTGTCATTACTGCTTATCTTCCTCTCTAGTGAGCTGTTAACCTCTATGATTTAATCATTGAGTTGAACTTGAGAACTGGGTCACTCTGATTCTTCACTCTGATGTTCATGAATCTGACATTGCGGATGTCAAGATTTTCAGAGAATAACCCAATAGTTCACCATAAATTAGAAAATTCTGCCATCAGTTATTTACACTCGCGTCATTTTAAACCCTTAAAGGGATAGTTCATCCAAAAATGAAAATTACCCCATGATTTACTCACACTCAAACCATCCTAGGTGTATATGACCTTCTTCTTTCAGATGAATACAATCAGAATTATATAAAAAAATGTCCTGGCTCTTCCAAGTTTCATAATGGCAGTGAATGGGTGTCACTATTCAATAGTCCAATAAAGTGTGCCCATCCATCATAAAAAAGTGCACCACACGGCTCCGGGGTGTGAATAAAGACCTCCTGAAGCCATACTTTAAAACTTTATAAACCGTAATCTCTAGCTTCCACTAACTATCGTATGCATGTACATGAGAGGGCAGAGGATGATGTGGAACGAACGCGGTGACGAACACGGAAGTGCAGAGGACAAAACACTGGTCATGAATTAGAAGTACAAAACGAGGATTTGTAAAGAAAAACGTTAGAGGATTTTGATATAAGTCAAGAGGAGACTGGTTTTCCTTTGTTATAAACAAAGGAAACTTTGCTTCCTTTGCTCTAGTAAACAAAATGTGGTTCTCGTGAGACTAGCATATTCTCACCGGAGCTTATGCTACACCTACATCCTATACATCATCCGCTAGAACTCCACTCTCTCGTCAACGCGCGTATGACAGCAGAAGCTAAAGATTAGGGGTTATAAAGTTTTAAATATGGATATTTTTCTTACAAAAACTCATTGATTCGCTTCAGGAGGCCTTTATTCACCCCCGGAGCAGTGTGGGACACTTTTTTGATGGATGGATGCACTTTATTGGACTTCTATTAGACTATTGAATAGTAACAGCCATTCACTGCCGTTATAAAGCCTGGAAGAGCCAGGACATTTTTTAATATAACTCCGATTGGATTCGTCTGAAAGAAGAAAGTCTTACACACCTAGGGTGGCTTGAGTGTGAGTAAATCATGGGGTAATTTTCATTTTTGGATGAACTAGCCCTTTAAGACATGTATATTTATGTAAGCCTTCTGAAGAGACATGATACACTTTATATCAAGAATGTATTTCATTTAGGCTTTTATTCACATATAAACATTGGTCAACGCATATATACATAGGTCACATCAAGTATGTTAAATGATAGTTCAAACTACCTGCTTGAAGCCTGAGAACCAATGAGAATTGATCTTACAGGTCAAGCAACAGTTTATCAATGTATATGTGCGAATAAAAGCCTAAATTAAATCTCTATATTAGATAAACCAATCATGTCTCTAGAATCGCTCAATTTATATGGATTTCTTTTAGGATCCTTTATGAACTGTTTGAAGCCTCAAATTTTTGATGTAATGGACTTTCAATGGATGGACTCAATTCTTCATTTGTGTATCAAAGATGAACGGATTACTGATTTGGATCATCAGGAGGGGGAGTAAATAACAGAATGGGTGAACCATTCCTTCAAATTTCAGCCTGTTTCTCACACGAGTCAAATGACTTCTGAAGACTTGGTATACAGTGCATTATGTCAGATTGAAGCTGGACAAACCCATTTCTCGTTCACTTTCAATAAACTGAAAAAAGCAACAACTGCATAGTAAACCATCATGCTACCTACAGCTGACTGACAAAAATGTGATGATGCTGTAAATTGAACTGAATTCTTTCTATAGACCTTGACAGAGTTGAAAGCCCAGTTGTGCAACAGAGAATCCTCTCATTTTGGTACACAGACCATGGTTGAGTGTGCTGTAATAGCGTGCTTTCATCCCACAAAAAAGATTTGGTGCGGCTTTCAAGTAATAGCTGGAGGGAAACCTGAAGACTGAGCAATGATCATTGATTCAGTCATCATTATGAATCAGTAGGTGGAAGTGACATGCCATGACTTGACCAGATGCATGAACAAACACCGCTCGGGGAATGAACCCTAAATTTAAACTCTTAAAGCAATGACACAGAACTGAAGTTGAGCTGGTATTGAGTCACTTTGCCGATTGATCACTTGATCCTAACTAAGTGTTGAGCTTAACAGGGGGAAATGCCAACAGTGTGTCTCTGTGGGCCCAGTGTTGCCAACTGTTTATATCATCACCCTTAATGAGTT